GATTCGTTAGTCTCTTTTCAGGTCTTAATGCCTCATTTATGTTAATGTTTGATGTTTTGAACGCTCTTGTGCTTTGTAAGTTTTGTGTGTGTGTGTGTGTGTGTGTGTGTGTGGAGTGACAGATTCCTTTGATCACAGTCTTTGTAAACCGTCAGTCTTCTTCCCGTAATAATAAGGATGTTAGTTATTGACAAATAATCATTATATAGAATTTGGTTTAGAAAACATTTCAGGAAATTCACGAGATAATGGTTTTAGGTAAGTTCTCAAGTTTTCCCACTTTATTTAGACTTAATTTGCTGGCTGTTAACACAGAAGTACAGATGTGTTCCCAGCTCCCGGGGGCACCAGCTCAGCAAGGGGCAGCGTGATTTTCTCGTTTTCGCTGCCCCGGGGATTGTTCACCAGTTAACTTAACCTTAACCCGTCCTTCCAGCGGGAGGCGCGCTGCCCCTGCCCTGCTGACTGTGCGCTGACGTGCTGTCGTGCGTGCTGCACGTGCATGTCGCAGTTCAGTTTTATTTTCCTGTTGTTTCTGGAACTCGTCCGTGTATGTGTTCACAGGAGCTCTTCTTTCTTGTCTTGTGTTTGCTTTTCATGGCATGTTGTGAAAGTCCTGCCCCACCCTGAGAGTATATAAACATTTGCCTATATGTTCTGCAGTGACTTTATTTCATCACTTTATATTTGATTTGTTAATTCACTTGGCGTTTAGCCTGTTATGCGGTTTCAGACCGGGACCTCAGTGTTTTTCCTTGTAGACAGTTAAGCAGTCGCCCTAGCACCGCCAGGTTACAGCGCAGACCTGAGCTCTCATCAGAGCATGGGCTCTGTTCTCGTGTTATTTCATCAAGAAGGTAGTTTGTTTTTCCCTAAAAGTCCAGATCCATTCAGTTTTAAATGAAATATTTCTGTGGTCAGCTAGTATTTGACCAAATATATTGCTTCTGACTTGTGATTACTATGAAATTATTCTTTGTGATAATAATAAAAGACTATAACTTCCAATAATTAATCTCTTCCTTGAGATCTTCTGCTCCGTGGCATCTGCTAAATATTAAAATAAGGAAGTCTGCATGAACTATAAATTTAGAGGTGGACATGCATGAACGTTACTCTAGTGAGAATGCCGTGATGGTGCGCTTTACCGCAGGCGAGTGCAGAGAGGAGCCATGGAGATGCGGTTCTTCTGTATTCTTTGGTGTGTCTACTGAAGTGCAGTTTTTTAAAGAGATCGGTAAGCCGTGGTTTGGCGGTCACTTGATTCACGGAGCCAGTTTGATCTTGTGCATGTTGACAGCCTCCTGGAGGTTATTTATAGCCAGACAATCTGTCTTCTCTCACTAGTAGTCCAGCAGGCCTTTGACATCTGGCCTGCAGTCGGATCCAAAGTCATTTATTTGCACAGTGGCCCAGAACTCCTAATAAAATGTTCTTCAATGTATTTTTTAAAGTATCGCAGATAACTCTAAATTCTGACATACTAAGGGAACGTTCATTGTGAGGATGATGAGAAAGTCAGTGAGATTTGTTGTAGGTCAGAAACAGGGAGGGAGGAGATGGAGGAGAGTTCAGCAAACCGAATAAATGACCAAGAGCCGAGGGTAGCGAGCAAACAGCCGCCAGGTGGTCCCTGAACATCACAGTGGGGAGAAGGCGTCCGGGCAGAGCAGGAGCCCAGCGTGGGAAGCGCTGACTCTGACCAGGGGTGAGAGCCGGACGTGAATCACAGCTCACCTGATGGGTGAGCAGAGTTGGCTTGTGGATTAGCTTCTTTTTATTTTTAAGTTTTATGTGTTTCATTTTGTGAATGCACTTAATGCATTTTTAACTACAGTGATCTGTGGTGACCTACAGCAGTGTTCACGGAGCCCAGATGTCGCACAGCAAAGCTAGAACTTTCAGGATTGTCTTGTTCTGTTTGACACCTTTACTGCATGATCTCTGTATAGTAAACCACAGCCTTCAGGAGTACACTTTGATGGCTTGATAGATGTGCACACCAGGGAGACCACCACCACAGGCGGGACGCTGGCACCTCTGTCGCTCCCCGGAGGTGCAGACTTCCGGTTCCCATGCTCCCTTGCCCCCCCCCTCCCCCCCGGTAACCGTCAGTTTGTTCCCTGTGCCTGTGAGTCTGTTTCTGTTTTGTAGAGAAGTTCGTTTGTGTCCTCCTATTTAGAGTCCACATGTAGGTGATACAGGGTATTTTCCTTTCTCTTTCTGACTGGCTTCACGTAGAATGACATGTGTTCCGGGGGAGGCTTGGGAGGCAGAAAGCTCGCGCCTGGAGCGCGGGGCCACTGGGCCGCTAACGTGTGCTTGTGTTTCCCGCCCTCGGCCGGCTCCGAGCAGCTCGGGTTCTACAACGCCGTGGCCATCCCCTGCTACACCACCCTCACGCAGATCTTCCCCCCCACGGAGCCTCTCCTGACGGCATGCAGGTACGTCGGCTCTTCAGCCTCTGTGTGTTGTTTGAAAAGATTGCCAAGACTGTGTAGGAGTGTTCACTCCATCAACGTGTGCATGGGTCTTAACTACAGTTTATAATAAATGTAATTTTATGGGCTGTGTGTTTGCCTGCGTAACAAGCATACGTCAAGAGTATTTACTCACAAAGTCATTCACTCACCAAAAAGGAAAGAGTTTTTTTTTTAATGACTTAGAGATCCCTGCCCAGTGCTGTTTTTAGAAAGACAGTGAGGTCTGTTCTGGGCTGCTTGTGTGGAAAGGGTCTCAGTTTAAATCACACAGTTTATTGTTATAAGGGAAGAAGGGGGATCTGGAGTGGGACCTTAAGTGTCACTCTCTTTCCGAGGGAAATATGAGCCTCAGTTGATTTGTTCTAGTTCAGACTCCTGTGTGTCCTTCCACCATCTTTTCTAAGAGCCAAACTCAGCTAAGAACATTGGGCATTTTTTAAGATTTTCATTTTACTTTGGAAAGGAATCCCCCTGGGGAAGGCCAAGGGTGATGAGCAGACAGCCGTGTGTTAATTCTCTGCAGGTGAATTGGTGTCAAGGCGATTTTTCTGACCACTCAGCTGGAGCCGCACTTGGGGGCTGGTGTGGGCACATCCTTGAGGGGCGGAGGACAGACGTTTGACAGGACACTTGTGAACAAGTCACAGGCTTTAGAGCTCCTGTCCTCTGCTGTTGAAACTCATCTTATAAACTGATTTTTCAGAAAAACAAACAAATAAAACTAACAAGTGAGAAGATTTAAAAAAAATACTGCTCTTTCCTATCTCACTGATTTTCCGTCTTTGCTCCTGCGGAGATGAACGGAGCAGCCCAGCTTATGCTGTTGCGCCATCACTGAGCTTAATCAGTGGTTAGTTTATTAAAACATTGCTCTGCTCCCCATGGGCAGGGCCATGCGGACAGTGTGGACTGTGAGCAAGGACGCGGGCTGGAGGGAATCGAGTTGGAAAAGTGACGTTCCCCCAGAGACAAGTGAGAATGTCAATCGAAATCCGAACAGCTTGTTGTAAAAAAAAAAATGTAGGCATTAGTGAAAAGTCCTTTTCTGCCCAGAACTGCTGTGTGTTTCGCACTGAACGTTTAGAACGAGCAGAACGAACGCTGGCTGTGCCAATCGGGCTCGGGATGGTCCCTTGGCTGTCTCAGCGGCTCCCACGCTAAACCGCATCGTTCCCTAAAGCCGCTTTGATCTTATTAACACTTAGAAAATTCATCGTGCGTCACCCATATCCAAGGAAACACAGCAAAGTTAGGGTGTGTCTTTTCCCAACGTATCAAAAAACTCCTTTAGGTTCTGGGAAGATGATCCCTGATGACACAGCACAAAAGCTGGAAGTGCTGGACGTTTCAGGTTCGACTTCAGGGGTTAGTTTTGCCCAGCGGTGTCTGAGCACACCTGCTGCGTACGAATTCTGTGTTTGCCGAAGTCAGGTTTTCCTTGTGACCTTGACTCTGCATGTGAGAGAGCCCAGGCCGGGCGGGAGATGCTGACCAGGAGTCCGCCTGGTTTGCCGCAGGGGGCAAGGTGTTGGTCCTGCAGCGGAGTTACCACCCCGCGGAGGGCAAAGATGCTGCCACATCTGAGCTGCGGATACTGGGAGAGATAGGCTGGGGGGCGGCAGGGGCTGCATTTGAGACGAGGCCACCGAACACAAATACATACATGTGTGGAATGTCCTGTAACAAGGACATTTCAGAGGTTTGTACCAGGTGTAACTTAGGGTGACTTTTTAATAGATGACACAGTGTTCAAAATAAGGCCAGACTCATGCCGACCGGCGGCGCACGGGCTCCCCGCAGGGGTGAAGGCCCGGCTGTTGGCACCGGCTTTGGACGTCCTTGCTGCTCTAGCCTCCCTTCCTTTCCACGCATCACCTCGGGCTCCTCGGTGGCAGCCCCTTCTCAAGCGCATCCTGCCTGATAAAGAAGGGACGTGTCCTGAGTGAGGGCTCCTCTTCGCCCTTGAAGCTGGAGCCGTGGGGATGAGGGCTTTGGTGGTTTGAGGCTCTCCTTGGTTCATAAGGTGCGGGCGGAGCCGGGGGCCGGGCTGGTGGTTGTCACCGGAGCCCTAATGACACCAGGAGGCCGCGCGGGCTTGGTCTGCCACGGGACGGCGTGGCTGGCAGTGGAGGCGGAAATCCTCCTGTCAAAAGCACCTGCCACTGCTTCTTTTCTTCCCAGGAATAACCTGAGCCAGTGGGAGAAGGTGATTCGAGGGGAGGAGAGCGCCGTGTGGATCTCGAACCCCCAGGAGGCCCAGGGGACCGCTGAGAGCTGCCTGTGAGGACGGCGCTGCTCCCCGGCCGGTGAGCTGCTGCGCCTCGAGGCTTCATCCTGCTTCTCTGACTTTTCGCCCTTTTTATTTTTTTGGTAGGGGGGAGCCTACACCTGGTGACAGGGATGCAAACCTCTACCAGAAGGCACCGCCGAGTCAGTGTGCCCCGCAGCGGCCCCCGCCCGCTCTGTACGCAGCGCAGCCCTCGCTGTACCGTACATCCGCCCGTTGGTCCGGTACCAGCAGTGGAGCCTCCAGTTGGTATTTGTTTCTAGTTCTAGACTCCTCGTGTGTCCGT